GGAAGAGGGAGGAGGGGGAAGGAGGGAAAATGAGGAGCCGATCCCAGGGGCTTATATGGAGAGCAAATGTTTTGAGAATGATGAGGGTAACAAATGTACCAATGTGCTTTACACAATTGATGTATGTATGGATTGTGATAAGAGTTGTATGAACCCCTAATAAAATGATTTTTAGAAAAGAACCGCAAAGGTGTCACTTTGAGGTCTAAGATAATCTATCATAAATAAAAACAAAAGAAAGGAAATATATGATCATATCAATTAATAGAAAGGCACTGGACAAAATCTAAGACCCATTCCTGATAAAACATTCAACAACATAGGAAAAAAGGGAAATTCCTTAGCATAATGAAAGGAATAGACAAAAAATCTATGATCAGCAAAAGGCTTAACAGAGAAAGATGAAAAGCATCCCCCTAGGAATGAACAGGAACTAGACAAGGTGCCCCTAGAAGCCCTTTACTACCACTCCTATTCAATAGTGTGCTGGAAGAATTAGAGCTATAAGTCTGTGAAGGGGAATAAAGGCATAAAAATTGGCAAGCTAAAACTATATTTTCAGATGATATGATTCTATACATAGAAAACCCTGAAAACAGCAAGAAAATTATGGGAACTAATTGAAAGGTTCTGAAAAGTAGTTTGGCACAAGACTAACATACAAACATCACCCAGATTCCTTTAAACTAGCAAATAAAAATACTGAAAAGGAAACCAGGAAAACAATACGAATTAGAGTTGTCACCCAAAAGATGAACCAAAATATCTATACAAAGAAAACTATAAAACAATAGTACAAGAAATCAGTGGAAGAATATAACACGTTCCTAGAAAGGAAGACCGAATATTTTAAAATGCCAATACTAACTAAAACCGTCTACTAATCCACAGATAGAGAGCTGTCCCAAGCCAGATTCAGTAAAGAGATGGGAAAAAAATTAATCATCAACTTAACGTGGAAAGGAAGGAGACCTGTTAAGTAAACCACACTAAAGAAGATGAATAAAGTAAAAGACCTCACAGCTCTTGAACTCAAACACAGCCAACGTAGTCACATCAGCCTGCAACTGGTATTATGAGAGACAGAGGCCAGGTTTACTGGCCAGATAGAAACTGATGGTATCCTTGAGATCATGTTCATTACTCTCCCTTTGGATCTGGAACTGACCTTAGCCTCAAGGCCCAATTTTTGGCCAAACAATAGACATGTCTACCAGGAGAACAATAACATAGGGAGGTATACACTCCTTAGACTAATCAATCATTGGAGATGAAAAGGGGATCATTTGTCCAAGGTTAAAGTTCAGAAGGCAGGAGGGGTAGGACAGGAGGAGTGGAAATTGGAACCATAAGTAGTTAATAAAACAGCAAAAAATTACCCCCATGTATGCATTATGGAGCGCCAACAATTAACATTTGCATTGCTTTATAACAAAATTTAAATAAAAATGGATCCAACATAAAAATATTAAAATAAAATACATATAATAAATTTTGTGCCCTATCCTTTTAATATATCTCCACTTAAAGTTCTACTCCTTGAAATTCTTGCCTGGAATTATTTACTAGACATTTCAAAGAAAAAGTATGACCTCTTTCTACCCCAATATATTTTTTTGTTTTTAAAATAGTTTTATTAGGGGCTCATACAACCCTTATCACAATCCATACATACATCAATTGCGTAAAGCACATTGGTACATTCATTGCCCTCATCATTCTCAAAACATTTGCTCTCCACTTAAGCCCCTGGCATCAGCTCCTCATTCCCCCTCCCCTCTGCTCCCCCCTCCCTCATGAGCCCTTGATAATTTATAAATTATTATTTTGTCATATCTTGCCCTGTCTGACGTCTCCCTTCACCCACTTTTCTGTTGTCCGTCCCCCAGGGAGGAGGTCACATATAGTTCCTTGTAATCGGTTCCCTCTTTCCAATCCACTCTCCGTCTACCCTCCCAGTATCGCCACTGACACCACTGGTCCTGAAGGGATCATCTGCCCTGGATTCCCTGTGTTTCCAGTTCCTATCTGTACCAGTATACATCCTCTGGTCTAGCCAGACTTGCAAGGTAGAATTGGGATCATGATAGTGAGATGGAGGAGGTAACATTTAGGAACTAGAGGAAAGTTGTATGTTTCATCATTGCTGCATCGCACCCTGACTGACTCGTCTCCTCCCTGAAACCCCTCTGCAAGGGGATCTCCAGTGGCCTAAAAATGGGTTTGGGTCTCCACTCCGCACTCCCCCCATCATTCACTATGGTAACATTTTTTGTTCTGATGAATCCTCATACCTGATCCCTTCGACACCTTGTGATCACACGGGCCGGTGCGCTTCTTCCATGTGGGCTTTGCTGCTTCTGAGCTAGATGGCCGCTTGTTTACCTTCAAGCCTTTAAGACCCCAGACGCTCTATCTTTTGATAGGACTATCCCAATATTTTTTAACATGACTTCTACTTTTAGCAGGGCATACTAGTAAATTGGTTTTAGTGAAAGTTTGCGTGGAATATACGAAATGAAACAACAAAGCTTTGGAAAGATGTCAGGAAATAATTGTGCAAGGATCCCACGATTTTCGTTGTGAGGAAACATTTAGTTATGACCTGGTGGTAGTTGGGTAGAACCAAGAAACACTATCCTGTCTTTGAAACCCGATTGACCACAAAAAGCTTGAACAGAAATGCAATTTTATGAGAAGTAGATTTAAAACATGCAATCTAAGTAATAGTATTAGAAGTCAAAGAGAAATTGTTATTTCAGATGAGATATTTCTTTGACATTCACTCTGAAACTCTGTCAAAATACCTTCAACTTCAGAAGTAAGGTCAGATCCCAAGTTGTGGTTATTTCCACCAAGCAGAATTACATTTGTTATCTTTATAGGAGGAGCTTTCGCTTGGCCATAAGATCCACCATCTACCGGCGTGTTGGCAACAGGAATAAGCTATATATAAAAAAAAGTTAAAAAATGTCTCACCTCCAAAAAGCTCAGTAAGTTTTGTCCTCATTATACTCATCTATCGACAATTTCTTTTAGTCAGGAGCTATATGCTAGCCTAACCCTGGAGCCGATACAGGCAAAAGTGTAAAATAGCCTTTTGGGGGCCCTAAGAACCTCCTGGCAAATCTTTTCAGATTGTGCCACACTCATGACTACCATGTAGGGAATGGTGGCGCCATGTCCTTTCCAAAGTAACAAGGGCTAGCATGAACTGAAAAGAAAGCGAGAGTTTAGACTTTCCCCTTTTAGTAATGTTTCTTCCGTTTTCATGAATAGAAATTTCCGAAGGTAAAAGTTATATCTTGAACATCTTTGTACTCTCACGTGACCTCATTCAATGCCTTGTAGTTAATTGTTTAAAACAAACATTAAAATGGGGATTATGTCTTAAAAACAAAATCCATTGCCATTAAATTGAATAGTGATAACCAGGTCTGCATGTACACATCTTATTTAAATCTCACATGTGGCGATCTTAAAATAAGTTTTAAATAAGATGTTTACATGTAGACCACTGGACACGTGGTTAAAGTCTTACAACAGGGCACTGATTTCTTTGCTTTGCAATAATCTTTATTAACTGTCCTCTGTAGCTACTTTGACCTGAAGTAGAAGCCTTTTGATTAATCAAAATAAGTCAAGGATAATAAATAAAATCAGGGGTCACTACATTATATGCATAATTCATATTCATCTTTTAAACTTTAAAATATGTAACAGCACATGCACGCACCAATTTTTTTATAAAGGGCCAAAACCATTTCTGTAAGTAAGGATCCCTTGATCGGTATTTTATCTGATTGTTCTTTGATAAATCATGCCCGTAAGAGGTTTTGCTTATTGCTTCTAACTTTTTTTTTAAATAGCAAAAATTTAAAGATACATAGAAAATCTGAACACAAGAATTAAAAGAAATCTTTTCTCGTCAGTTTTTCTAAATTGTCATCTCATCCCCTCCTTTATTTTATAGGATTTTTAGTCCCCACTTAACTCAGTGTGTGATTTTTATCCAGAAGACTATCTCATTTGGTTTTCTCAGATGCACAGCAGCAGTAAATTAAATTGTGTCCTCATGATTAATGCTTATTTAAAATAGCAAGGACTGGCATAATATCATTTTATAAAACTACAGCCGACTCTCGATAGGCACATGAAGCTATCACCACAGGCAGAGTGAACTAGGGAGGAGCCTATGTCGCCTGCCCTGGGGTATCCTGCATGCAGTGTGCTCTCAGAGCAGTCAGCTTGTCCTGGGAGGGAATCCACAGCATCAGCTAGTTCTGGGGGTGATGGTCGCTGCGAGAGTAGCTACAGGCCTCTTCTCTTTCATCTCTTCCACCGAACCTTAAAACACCAACCTTTGCTCACTGACTCTAGTCGCCTTCTCCGGCTTTTACTTACAGTACCTCGGGGCGTCACTTCTGCTCTCACTGCCCCCCCTCGCTCAGCTCTTCACAACATCTCTTCTCCTTCCTCAATCCTTACCAAGGTACAACTGTAACAATCTTAAATCTGCATTCAAACATTACAGATGACAGCATGTCCTAATGATAGACGTGTGGTTTAGTCTCTCTTTAATCTCTTTCCTACTCTGGCCATATTTCTTTTTTTAAAGGTGGATGGGCCTCTGTTTTCCTGTTGGATACATGACAATGTTCTACAACAGTCTGAGAGTGGCGCTTGGATTCGTTTTCTTCCCTTTCTAGCTGCCGACATGGAGACGGTTTATTGTTAAACTCTGCTTCCAAAGGAGGTATCTTATGGCTTCTAACCTTCCAGCCTAATCTGAGCTATGGGTGAAGATGTACAAGCACGTTAACTGATGTGCTTTCTGTCCAAGTATATGATTAGAGAGAGGAACTTAGTTCCCTGATCAGCACACTTGCATGCGTGCATGCATGCTCTATTCACCAGCTCGAGCTGTTTGTTGGTAGAAATCCCAAAATAGATCCCCATGTTATATACAGAAACACCATCTACCCATTTAAATCCAGATTTAAACATTTAAGTCAAAATACATGCATTCATCCTTTATTTATTTCAAAAGGAAAAAATGTAAATATAAAATTACCAGATTTTTCTTTGTCTGTAGTTCAGTGAAGTGAAATTCTGCCTTTGCCCTATCATCTGCATTCACAGGAAGCCCATCTAATATCTGTAAATTTGGCAGTCGAAATATGAGCATGTGGCGGTGTAGCACTTTTCTACAAATCTGAAAAAAGGAAGAAAAAATAATGTGTGCCTTAATCATTTTAAAGTCAGAAATTGATATTGGTAGGGCAGGAAATTGGGCATAGACAGCAAGGAAGTGATAACAGCTAATCCTTAATAGTATTACATGCTACAAACATGAGCTCTTTTTTTGGAGACACACCCCAATTTCCTGTCATGTTAAATGCAGGTAACTACTGACTCAATTCTGACTCAAAGTGAGTCTAGATAGAGGTGGAAGGCTTTGGAAGTCTTTGTGGAAGCCAATGGCCTCCTCTTTCTCCTGGAGAATGACTGGGGGGGTTTGAGCTGGGGACCTTGCATTCAGCAGTCCAGTGCTTACCCAACATCGCTTCCCGATAAGAATTTTTTATTTCTTTTTTATTAAAGCTACAAGTTGAAAGTGCCGTTTTTTAAAATCATTTTATTAGGGGCTCATACAACTCTTATCACATCCATACATACATCAATTGTGTAAAGCGCATTTGTACATTCATTGACCTCATCATTCTCAAAACATTTCCTCTCCACTTAAGCCCCCGGCATTAGGTCCTCATTTTTCCCCTCCCTCCCCGCACCCCGCTCCTGGTTGTTGTTTTTTTAAGAGTACAGTCTTGCACATTAACTACAAGCATTACCTAACTCATGAATGTGATTATATTTCACATTACAAGTTACTTATAAATGCTTGGTTTGAAAAAAAAAAAAAGGTATTTTCCAATAGGTACTACCTAACACAATTCAATATATACCCATATATTTAGTCTACCCTAAAGATATTTGCATATCTGCATAGCCAGGTATGCTGAAAAGGGTCAACATGCCAAGCCTGAGACTATTATCTTTGAAGGTTCTTCTGGCAAGGTTGGTTCTTGACTAATATCTGGCTTCTCAGATTCTGAAAGCGTTCCCATCATTACTTAACTGATACGGATGGCTCTGTTCTCAGAGAATGTATACAAACAAGATAGGTCATTGTGTTGAACACCTACTTTCTTCCTGGGAGTCTGTGATCTAAGTGCTTACTCGACACAGAGTGCCCTAGTGACCAACCTCCGACACAATCCTTGAACGCAAAACACCACACAAATGTTGCATTTCTGTTGCTGGGAGAAGAGGACCCTCTTTGTGACCACTCATGGGAGAGAAAGAACAAAAGGAAAGCTGTCTGTCTTATCGACTCTATCTTCTCCCCTTATTCTTACAATTAAAAAACATACAATACAAAAGAAGAGTCACTGGTAGTGCAGTTGGTTAAGTGTTCTCAATTGGTTAGAGGCTTGGCGACCTGTTTCTGAGAGGCCATAGCCGTAAAAAAGCCACGGAGCAGTCCTGCTGGGTGCACCGTGTCTCCAAGAGTGCCATTAAAAACTCAAACCAAACTCGCTCTCGGTCCTGACGCACAGGGAGCAGAACTGTCCCTGTCAGCTTCCGAGACGGTCACTCTTTACAGAAGAAAGTCCTGTCCGTCTCCCTTGAGCACCCTTACTATGTCACTATACAAAATCCTCGCTGTGAGGACAAGTCTGCTCAGTCCCCGCAGTCCTTCTGGCAAGTCTCCGACTGGAGGAGGGGTCTTGCAGACCCCCAAAGGAGGATGTATGTATAAGGATGTTTAATGCAACCTTATGTGTAACAGCAAGAGAGACAAAAAAGGAGATAAAGAAGCAAAAATAGAGCCTGTCAAAAGCTAATGCGTATGCATTTTAAAAAGCATGTGGTGTATACGTAAACACTGTGAAGGATCGTTAACACATATAATTGACTTCAAAACAAAACAAAACCCAGACATTGACCAGATTCAGAGATACAGAGAAAGTTTCCTAATTACCAAAGACTAGAGAGAGACACTGTCTGCTCTAACTAAAATATAAAAACATTTGGAATCAGCATATGGTAACTAAAATTATCTATTTTTAAATGAACACATAAAAATATCAGTAACTCATGAGGTTAAAGAAGAAATCTTTTGGAGAGCAGACTTTAAGAAATAGAGGAGAGTCAAAATGCGCCTGAAAATTATCGGATTCTACGTAAGCTGCGCTTCGTAACCTAGTGCAGAAGGGCAGCAGACGTGGCCTAACTGGGACACCTGGGAAGATTAAACAGGGTGTGTTTGGCATTTTCCTTTCCTCTTGGGAAGGAGCTTATTGCTGGGAGAATATATTCTGTTCCTTCAGAAGAAGCTCATCTCATTTATAAAAAAGGCCCCACTCTAGGATTTCCTGTTATTGGGCAGTTACGATGGTCTGCCGTTGAGTTCAGTAAGGCTTTTACCTCTCTTTTTGCCTCTATTATGCTTTTTAGAGACTCTGATCCAAAATGACCTTGTAGCCAGAGACTCCGTGAAATCTTTGAACAACATTTTTGAAAAAGCAGTCACTCAAGAACCTGAGTTCTGGACCTCCTGGGACGAACAGAAACCCTTACCGATTTCACCCTGGTATTTCGGAGGGTGGAATTACCATGAAGAACCCCTCCTCCCCACCACCACTACCACAAAAGCATGGATTCTGTGTTGTGCTTCCCCACAAGAAAAGAAGGGGTTTTCTTACCAAAGGGAAATACTTTGCACACTCTGAAGAGGCCAGGTGCAGAGGGCAGGTGGAGGGCTGGGGCGGTGGGGAGACAAGAAGGGAGGAGAATGGAAAAGAACAAAAGGAAGAAAGAATCACATTAAAAAATAAACAAACAAGGCAAGAACGGCATTTACTGGATCCCTGCCATGAACTACAAAAGGTAAAAACATTTTCACAAAATTAATTTGCAATTTCAATTAAGATATAAAAAAGATTTTCATGTAACTTGGGAGGCTGTTCCTAAAACTCCTAAGAATGCGTAAAGGGCCAAGAATAACCAAGAAAACAAAGAAAGAGAAATGGGAAGGAAAAGAGGAGGAGGAGAAGGAAAAGAAAGAGAAGAAGCGTTAGAGGAACTTACTCCACTAGGAAGGAAGCCTGGTGGCACAGTAGTTAAGCGCTGGGCTACTAACCAAAAGGTAGGTATGTGGTTCTAACCCATCAGCAACTTCTTGGGAGGAAAGATGGGGCAGCCTGCTTTCGTAAAGATGTCCAGTCTTTGAAATCCTATGGGGAAGTTTTACTCTATCCTCTAGGGCCACTGTGAGTTGGAATCGACTCTATCAAATATACAGACTTAATATAAAACTTTTGTAATTAACACAGTATAGTATGGGTGCAGAGATAGACAAAAAGGTCAATAAATACAACACAGAACTCTGAAATAGATTCTCTTATATGACTGTGACAGTGTTGTAATTAGTTGGAAGAAGACACTAATGAGTAAATTATACCGGGATCCATGGCTATCTATGTGGATATGCATTAAATCTCTTCCTTAAACCATATATAAATAAGAAATATAAAACTACTCGTACATTGAAGAATAAGTTATACAAGTAACATACTCACTGGATTACCATAAACTGTAAGCTCTCTGAGAGAAGAGAGGACATCAAGTCTTTCCAGTTCTGCCATATCCTATTGAACAGTTAACACAATCCATGAATTATTATTTGTTCAGTTTCAGCATCCTCCAATACAGACAACTTGAAGTCATTACATGTTAAGGGCTGGCTTGCATCTAGCTCAATGTGAAGTGAGCTGGAGTGACACCATTTTGTAGTATTGATTAAAAAGTGTCCTGTGCACTATAGATCTCAAGTACATGACCTTCTAACAGAATCAGGCTGAACATAGTAGCATTCACACGAAAGGACCAAATTTTCAGTAAATTATGATCTGTTCTAAGACTCAGATTATATCTGGCTAATTTCCCAAAGTATTGACACAGAAGTAGGAAAGGTTGAATCCAGCCTAAACAATGTCAAAGGTAAATGTTAACACAATGTTAACCATAAAGGAGCACGTGCTATTTGAGTGGACTACCCCCTGATATATTTGCTGGGAGCACATTAGTTGGAAAACAAGCTTAAGTAGATGAATTACTCACCTTTCCTGTTGTTTGAAGTCTGATGAACTTCCCTTTTGCATGAACTGAACATTGGTGAAAGTTTACCAATACATCTTAGCATTTGCATAATAAATTCTAAAATGATACTTCTGACAAAAGTTAGCCAACAAGTTCTGCTGATTGCTATTTACAGTACGAAGACCATATTATTTGGGAACGAAGGACCTGAGAAACCACTATAATATCCCAGACCTTATGTATCCTTGAAATTCTTGGTAAAACTTGGTGCTTGAAAAAATCTTTGATTTGTATAAATCACAAATCTTTGATTTGTTTAAACCAATCCAGACATCATACAATTCCATAGTTCAACCACATCAAGCCGTGTTATATAATTGCTACCAAAATCAGTTTCAAAACGTTTTCTTCCTTCTGGAACTTCTTGGTTGATACCTTCCCCGCCCAGCCACCTCCCACACCATACCCTCCAGGACCCTTATTTTTACTGTTGTCTCTGTAGGCTCATCTCTCCTGGGTTTCATTGATTTGTTTAAATCTTGAGACTACTCTGCTCATTCAGTTGGCATCATTGGAAAGATTTCTTATAGAATAACAATTTTCCCAATTTAGATTTCTTCTGGTTATAAGCCTTTGGAAGAATCATTTCTAGTTTTGTCAGGCTTTTATCAGATGAAGGTTGTTTGAACCTGAGTAAATTAGTGATATTATTTTTCTCTGGATGTACATTCCTTACTTGTCATATAGAAAAAGTTTTCTTCCATGATTTCTGTCTTTGTTCCTTCTATGATTTCCTTCTGGCTTCAAAGAGGGTTTTTAAATGAAGAAGAATTTGGCATCAGGATTGGAGGAAGACTTATTAACAACCTGTGGTATGCAAATGACACAACCTCCCTTGCTGAAAGTGCAGAGGATTGGAAGCCCTTGCTGATGAAATCAAGGAGTATGGTTTCGGGATTACAACTCAATGCAAAGAAAACCAAAATCCTCAAACTGGACCAATAGGTAATATCATGATAAACCGAGAAAAAAATGAAGTTGTCACGTATTTCTTGCTTGGAACCACAATCAATGCTCATGGAAGCAGCAGTCAAGAGATCAAAAGATGGCTTGCATTGGGTAAATCTGCATAAGACCTCTTTAAAGTGTCAAAGAGATCGTGTCATTTTTAAGAGCCAGACACTGCTGTCCCAAGCCACAGTATTTTCAGTCACCACATATGCATGTAACAGTTGGACATTGAATAAGGAAGACCAAAGAAGAGTCGGTACATTTGAACTATGGTGCTGGTGAAGAATAATTAAAGGACCATGGACTGCCAAAAGAACAAACAAATCTGTCTTGGAAGAAGTACTCCTGGAATGCTTCTTAGAAGCAGGGATGGTGAGACTTTGACTTGTGTACTTTGTACATGCTATCAGGAGAGATCAGTCCCTGGAAAAAACCATCATGCTTGATAAGGAGATTGGCAGTAAAAAGAGGAAGCCCTTTGGTGAGATGGCTTTACACAGTGGCTATAATGATAGCTGTAATTTAACAATTTTGAGGCTGGTGCAGGACTGCGTGATGTTTCACTTTGTTGAAACAGACAAATTGGCTCGGTGGCACCTAAAAAACACATACCAGGATGTCTTTCTGAAGTAGAGCTACAAATAAACCTTTACCAAGTAACCACTGTGTACCACTGGGGGATCGGCAGTTCAATTTTTCTTCAAGAATATCTTAGAGATATTGGCAGATGTAATACAACTGGTAAAAGGAGGGCTAACAGATCATCATAACGTTAATTATGTATGTAAATCTCTCATCTGATTATTTCTTCAAGAGAGAGTTTGGCCTGGTTAAGTTGAGGCAGTGGCCTAAGAGAAACAAGTTCAATTCTGAATTGGTAAAATTAGAGCAGGATCCTAGTCAAGGAGTCCTTGAGTAACAAAGGCTGAATATTAATAAGCCAAATCAAAGTCCGTTATCAGGAGTTGATTCATATGCCAGGTATACCAAGTGCTGAGATGCAGAAACATCTTGCACCAAGAGTAGCCAGGCAGAGGTGAGCTATCTGTTAGAAACTTTATCAATCACTACTAATAGGGGTTGGCTGCGTGTGGGCTGGTCAGGTTTACAAATCTAGAAGTAGGGTGGACATCTCTTTACCATAGAGTATTTGTTGTTTGTTTTTAGTTGCCATCGAGTTGGCTCTGACCCACAGCAACCTTATGTACAACCCAAATCAACGCTGCCTAGTCTTGTGTCATCCCAACAGTTGTTATGCTTGAGCCCATTGTTTCAGGCGTCTGTCAATCGTTTTGTTGCGCTTCTTCTCCCCTTCTCACTGCCGCTGTGCTTTACGCGCATGCTGTCCTTTTCTAGGGACTGGTCCCTGTGAACACGTCCAAAGTAAGGGAGACAAGATCTTACCATCTTGTTTTGAAGGAGCATTCTGTTTGTGCTTCTTCCCAGACAGATTTGTTCCTTCTTCTGGCAGTCCATGGTAGTTTCCATATATCTTGCCAACACCATAACTGAAATTCCTCAATTCTTCTGTGGTCTTTCCTTGCTCAATGTCCAACTTTCACAGGCATAGATGGTGCTTGAAAATACAACGGCTTGGGTCAGGAGCACTTTAGTCCTTTAAGTAACAGTCTTCTCTTCAACACTTTAAAGAGGTGCTATGCAGTAGATTTGCCCAATGCATTTGAGCAGTTATGTGTGCTAAAATACACATGCTATCTAAATGACACACTAGCACAATTTTCATTGGTGTGTTGGCAGCTTTCTAGTTTCAGCACTCAGAGGAATTAAGGCATGTATTTCTCATAAGAAGAAAACAAATAATGGTACCTGGACTTTGTTAAATCCTAGGAAGAGTTTCTCGAGTTTTAGCAAAGGCTGTAATTTGCTCAGCTCTCGCAGTCTGTTCTCCTCCAGGTGAAGTGCCAACAGAGAGCTTGGTTTAGCAAAGGCACTGTCATGAAATGTTCTGATACGGTTATGATCCACTATCAATTCCTGAAGGACTGCTAAATTGTCAAGCCCTTCAACCTGGCTGATTTCATTCCCTGAAAAAAGATAAGGCATGGTATGTCAAGTGAGTTCAAACTCCTTGGCTTAAACATTATTTAGTTTTGTTTAAATATTTTAAGTAAAATTCTTCTTATAAAGTAAGGTAATAAAAAAACATTTATCACCAAGGAGAAATGGGCATGGAATGTACAGGAAGATAGCAGCAGCATTAGATAATATCTGGTAAAATTTCTCATTTGTGTTTGAAAGATCAAGATGTGAGGTACACAATGTGCTGAACCCTCATCAGTGAGTAAGTGATGAAACCGTCAAGATGACAAAAGTCGGTTGATGAAAGTGTTAAACAAGGTACATTTTTTATGTATGCTTGGTCACTCTCAAAAGTATGGACCTGGCTTCATAAAATAGTCTGTTGTTAATTTGGAAGAATGTATATTAATTATGCTGCCCTTTCCCTAATATAATTTTGCAATGGAATCATGTCAAATAAATGAGACTTCTTTTTGATCTTCAAAGTCCCAATTTCCCCCTTTTTGCAACCTAGCATTTTCCTCTATTTTATCAACCAATAGGTTCCTAAATGGCGGTTATATGAGGATGCTTAAGTTTACAAATGTTGTTTTTTGTGTATGTCCCAAGGGTCTCAAACTAAGTCAGGGAAACTATTATCTCTTTTTAATCATCAAAAAATTGAGTTCCAAAAAATGAAATTACTAGCTCAAAAACATAGAAGCAGCGACCCCAGACCTCCCTTAGATCTCTATATTTCCATTTCAGTGGTCTTTCTACTCTGTCATTCTGTGTGTCATTCATATTGATATCTATGCTCCGTATCTAAACTCATGATCTTAGGATCCGGGAACCTTCCTCCTTGAGATTCAACATAATCTGGTGAATTCAAGACTTCTGCACTAAGAAAGAATAGAAAATCCAACTGGATAAACTATGACATGCCCTCAGAAAAGACACATCAGATTTTGTACATACGAAAATGTGAAAACTGTGTTTCAAAATTGAGCAAACAGAATAAATCTACCATACTCTTTTCCTCTGCGCTTTATAGGGAAATTGATAACAGCTTATAACAATCTTCAATAAAGTTGGTCACAGAATGAAACCGCAGACTTGGAAACAAGTGCCAGAGCCTTATTTATGAATAAAAACAAGTGTAGAAAAGTCAGTTTGAGAAAAATTGACCCAGTTGGGCAAATATAGTACTCTCATGAAATTATACATTCAGAATGTCACTTTTCACCATTAGAAATAAGTAATGTTTCATGTCTAATAGCATTAAAAAAATACCACATGAGTTAACTTTGAGCTAAATAGTATGTACAGAAACATACTTTTGACCAATATTCATTTTTGAAAACCTCCAAACTCACTTCCAGAGTTGATTCTGATTCATGGTGACCCAATTGTCACTATGTGGGTCATGGGGGATCCCAAGGCTTTACAGGAATTGAAAGTCCCACCCCTTTCCCACAGAGCAGCTGTAGGTTTTGATCTGCTGGCCTAGCAGGTAGCAGCCCAAGATGTAACCATCATGCCAGCGCCAATTAAACACAGTTAAGAAATGAACTCTAAAACCACTAGATTGAATGTGATTTTAGATACTACATTTCAAGTATTTATCATTGTTTAAAAACTTCAAACTTATTTCATTAAATAGCTAATATTTTAGATAACTATGACCCTTAAGCCTAAAGATTCTATCTCAATTTTTATATTCCTACTCAGCCTGTTCACTAAAAACTCCACCTTCTTTACCCTTCTCCAGCAAATTTCATACAAGAGCTGAAAGGTGGGTTTGTAAATTTCCTCATGGACCTTGGAATCACCTCACTTTCATGGTCTACATTGTGGTCCCCATAAACCTTCTGTCCCCTCTTCCTGTGACAGTCATCAAGGATCCCTGCTGGTACAGCAGTTCAATGCTCAACTGCTAACCAAAAGGTTAGTGGTTCAAAGCCACCCAGTAGCTCCACGGAGAAAGACCTGACAATCAGCTTCCATAAAGATTAAAACCAAGAAAATCCTATGGTGCGGTTCTCTGTCACATTGAGGCCATAATGAGTTGAAATTGATTCGAAAGTATACATAACAAAGGTCTTCATCAGAACTAACTCCTCTTTTTGGTATGTTTAACCTAATTTATCTCCTTATGAATCTTTAAATGTACTCACTTCCTCACTAGCCACAATCCTATTTTTCATCTTCTTTTCAGGGAAAAGCTCTTTGAGCATGCATCTTTATTGTTGCATTTATTCCATGTCCAGTCCCTTCCCTCTAAATTGTTTTCACTTTGGCTTCTGCTCTCAGCATGTTTCCAAATCTGAACCCGGGAAGGTTACCAACAGTCTCTCTTTTGTTGAATTCAATTTTCTCCCCACATGTCTCGTTCTTTTCATTATAGAACTCTGAGGCCATTCATCTTCTCTGGCCCTGGCTGCATTTCTTGGCTTCTTTTCCAAAAATTCCAGTGATTTCTTGTATGACTGCTTTCCTGGCTTGTGTTTTCTTTCCTGACTTCTTAATGTGAGGGTTCTCCAACGCTCTTTTTCATTCTTTGTTCTAAATTAACTTACTCCCTAAATAAGAACATCCACTTATGACTTCATCTGTCACTGCCACTGGAACAATTCCAAACTACTTCTCTCCAGCCCCGGCCTGTGTTCTAGTGCTGCTGCTCGAAGAGATTTCCATTTTTTATGTATCAACATGATCACAGCACAGCTGATTTCTCCATCCTCCAGGTGAGCAAGGACTTTATCCAGATCTAGCGCCTCCTTTTGCGCTCTCTCCTCATGAAGAAATCATGAAAACACCTTGGAGTGTTTCTTTCCTCTTCTATATCTAATGAGTCACTGAGTTCAATATTTTCTTCTTTGAATGACCTTTTGGCTCATCCTTCTCCCTGGCACCTATCTAGTCCAGGCACTTATTATATTATTCATGCTAGATGGAAATAGCCTGGGCTTTGGTGTCAGACAGATGAGGCCTTTATGACACCACACCACTCACAGCTTCAACTTTATTGATTTAATTATAAATAATATCTTTAATATATTTATTATTATTTCAACTTCAGTAAAATTATTTAACCTCCTATTTTAGTATATGTGCTGCCTCAGCGAGCACAAATTACTTAACCTGAAAGAACCTCAAATTCCTTCCGCTGTCATTTTTTGGGAAAATGCATATAAAGTGCTATTTGGGTTGCTGTGAAGATTAAATGAGAATGCGAATACACAAACATCTTCCCCAATGACTAGTTTGATCAGCACTCGATAAATGACAGCCATTACAGTAAATAGCCTCACTTTCTACCAAGTGGTTTGCCACCCAAGCCAGGACAACAGACACACTCCCCCTACTTTACTTTACTAGATAAAAGTAGCTCTCCGGAGTTAGGTTGTCTGTTGTTTTTGAGGTCAATGGATCTTCTAAAAGATCCGTCATCATTATGTTCAATTTTTGTTCTCTAAGGCAAAGTCTATATACTCTTGACCCGACTCACGAGCACCTTTGATAGACAAAAAGACACATCTAAAAATTTAAAACATGTCTTGGAAAAGCTGATTTCTACTGATTTTATGTAATCTGGTCTTGTGAATTACCAAACTCTTTGCTTTTTGTTGGGTTTAGTGGACTATGATGTAAAAAGTAAATATTGATAGAATACTGTAGAGATGCCTAGATTGTTATATCATTCTTCAAAAATAATTTTTAAAGCAAATAAATAAACAAAGAAAAATTCATTATTTTTTTAAAGTCATTTCCTTGGGAGCTCTTACAGATATTATAACAATCCATAATTCAAGTAGATCAAGCATAATTATACAATTACTGCCATCATCATTTTCAAAACATTTTCTTTCTTCTGTAACTCTTTTTGATATCAGTTCCCCTTGAACTTCTCCCCTCCACCACCATACCCCCCCGAACCCTTATTCTTATATTAGAAATAATAATTATTACAATTATGAAAAATTCACTCTTGATTGCTAAAATATTTTGCCAATGAATATGCTTGAAGTTAATGTTGATGCTTTTATATTTGTTTATCAAAACAGGATAATAAATCAGTCTTTAATAACTAAAAATTTACACATTTCTACTCTAAGGAGTTTTACTCTCTCCTATAGTGTCAGTATAAATATTATGGCAGTGAGTTTGAATTGCTTACCTTGTAGAAAGAGGTACTTTAAATTTGTTAGTCTGTTAAGTTGTAGCTGAATTAAATTACAAATTCCATTGTAACCCAAATGAAGGACTTCTAAACTGTGCATGATTGGAGGCAAATTTTCAAAGACCACTGTCTCTCTGAAATACATATGTAAGTCTGAGATCATATACTTAATTCCAAGCCAGCTGTATCAGGAAAAGACAATTTGGTATGTACTTACTATAAAATTAACTTAAGAAAAAAGTAAATTTAATAATAAATCAAAATAAACTATTTAACATACACTTTATATTCCATATAGTAATGTTTTTCTTCTTTTAAAAATATTTGTGCAAATACAGAAGGAATTATAATGAGAACCAATAAAAGCATATCCAGACAAAAATAATGAATAAAATCAATTCAGATCAGAAAAGAATAAATAAACCTAATTTTATTTGTAGGGGGGATTATCTTATATTTAGAAAATCTTGTGGAATTCACCAAAAAGTGGTATAAATGAGTTAGCAAGATCATGGGGTAGATTATTGCTATACAAAGGCCAATTGCAAAAAAAAATTTTTTTTAACTGAAAAATGGTCAATTCCATTTCTATATGCTGACAATAAAGATTCTAAAACTAAAATTAAGAAAAATTTCTATCCATAATGCTATCACATCAGAAGATAAAATATTTCATAATAAATTAACCAAAAATGTACAGTATTTGTGCACTCAAAACTAAAACATTACTATGAGATATTAAAGATCTAAATAAATGGGAAAATGCTCTAAATTGATGAATTAGGATATTCGTTACTATAAGTTTCTTTTCAAATTGATCAATAGATTCAATGCATTATCTATCAGAAAGCCATTCTTTATTTAGAAATGACAAGCTGATCCTAAAATTCATATGAAAATGCAAAGAACACATAGTAGTCTGAACATGTTAGATAAAGATCAAAGGTGGAGGATTTACAGCTCCTAATTTTAAAGCTCATTATAAAGCCAGGGTGGTAAGGGCGAAAGGTGACATAAGGAGTTGCTTAGGCCATTTGAATAGAATTGAGAACCTAGAAATAAACCCTTCCACTGATGGTCAGTTCATTTTGAACAACAGCACCAGCAGCAATTCAAGGGGGCGGGGGGG